TTACATTCAAGTCACAAATGAGGTACATTCAAAACACGTTGGACTGAAATACGAATTACACTTCAAATCAAATACGAGTTACATTCGAGTCAGAAATGAGGTACATTCAAAACACGTTGGACTGAAATACGAATTACACTCAAATCAAATAGGAGTTACATTCGAGTCACAAATGGGGTACATTCAAAATACGTTGGACTGAAATACGAATTACATTCAAATCAAATACGAATTACATTCAAGTCACGAATGAGGTACATTCAAAAAACGTTGGAGTGATATACGAATCACAACTAAATCAAATACGAGTTACATTTGAATTATATTCAAACCACGTTGCAGTCACATACGAATTACATTCGAATCAAATAAAAGTCACAAGTTATAAATGAATTACATTCAAACCATTTTAGAGTGAATTAAATTCAAATCAAAAACAAAGATCAAGCACTTTACTTAACATCCACGGGTCGTACATCCTGGCAATTTACATAACATCTACAGGTCGCACATCCTGGCAATTTACATAACATCTACAGGTCACACATCCTGGCACTTTACATAACATCTACGGGTCGCACATCCTGGCACTTTACATAACATCTACAGGTCGCACATCCTGGCACTTTACATAACATCTACAGGTCACACATCCTGGCACTTTACATAACATCTACAGGTCGCACATCCTGGCACTTTACATAACATATACTGGTCACACATCCTGGCACTTTACTTAACATCTACTGGTCGCACATCCTGGCACTTTACATAACATCTACGGGTCGTACATCCTGGCACTTTACATAACATCTACAGGTCGCACATCCTGGCACTTTACATAACATCTACGGGTCGCACATCCTGGCACTTTACATAATATCTACGGGTCGCACATCCTGGCACTTTACATAACATCTACGGGTCGCACATCCTGGCACTTTACATAACATCTACAGGTCGCACATCCTGGAACTTTACATAACATCTACAGGTCGCACATCCTGGCACTTTACATAACATCTAAGGGTCGTACATCCTGGCACTTTAAATAACATCTACAGGTCGCACATCCTGGCACTTTAAATAACATCTACAGGTCGCACATCCTGGCACTTTACATTAAGGCTCATGGGTAGACGCTTGTTTGTAAACAATGACACGCCATGGCCATCTGACACATGCGCAGGTGACGACTCCCCCGCTTTAAGCCACATTCAAGTGACAATCCAAGTCGCAATCAAGAAAAATATCTTATTCGAGTTGCATTCAAATTAGTTCAATGTATACGGAGCATGTCATCGTGCATACAACTATTTGTATTTGCCACCATGACAAAGAGAGAGGTCTTGTTTGCACCTCATTTCCGGCCAGCCTCACTTTGATATGTGCATCGGGAAGGTGTTATATATATAATAAAGACAGTGTTGTGTTCTGTAGGGTGGAATTACATTTAAGGCCAAGGCTTACGATTGGGACTACCTTTCTAACGACCTCGTAGACAGGTACAGAGTGGAATACAGCAAAGCAGCAGCCAGATCGTCAAGTGAGGCATCTTGGAGCCCTACAATTACGTCCAACGGTGAGGTTGGTTCATGGTAAGGGACGACGTCAAAAGATCTATGTCGGATAAAAAACCTATTTCCTTTAGTTTGGGGGTGGGGGGTTTTGACCTCAAAAAGTTTCCATCCGACAAAAACGATTTTATTTTTTAATGAAGTCAAAAAAATCTTGGAGTATTTGTAGTTCGTTTTTTTTTCTATCCAATCATGGACAGAAATAACCGAAAAGAGAAAAAACAGAAAAATGTTTGGTTTGAGTGTAAATATGTGCGTCAAATGAGGTGCATTTGTAAAATCTTTTTACACCCACCTGACAGCCAACTGCTATGCAATACTACTATTTAATGGTGAATGTAGGCTGACGCCATGACCAATATTTATCAATTAAGTTTCAGTGGGGGGTAGGGGGGTTGGAAACAAACTACATGTGTATAGGAATTGAGTTTTTTTATCCGACATCGATCTTTTTACGTCGTCCCTAAGTTGCACCATAAATTTACAATAAATTATACGGATTCATTTGTTTAAAGGTAGAAAGGGTGATTCTCGCAAGCAAAGATTTCAAGCAAGGAACAGTAAAGGGCACAGAGCCGTGGTCGTTATAAACATTTTATAAATACTAGACAAAGTATACATTTTTTTAAATCAAGGTGAATTCTAAAATTCAAATTGACAAACCCGGTATTTTGACATCACCGTTAGTTTTAGTTAATATTAATTATATATTTTTAAATTTATCCTAAATTTGAATGTGGGCGGTCGCAGTTGCTATGTCACGTGAAAGCATGCGTGCGCATTAAGGGCGTAGACCATGTTTCGCTCTTGAGCCAATCATCATTGAATATTTGATTTTTAATGATTTTACAATTCACTGTAATGACTATGAGTCATTTGTTTAGTTTTAACGGCGCCTGAAAACAGCAAGCATATCTACAGAAATGAAAGAATTTCTATGATGAGGTAATATTTATTCATGTAATAAGAAAATCAGACGCATAGATTGGGAGTAAAATATGATCATTACACATGCACATGGCCTTAGTGTGTATTTCAGCGTTGATTATGCCCCAACCTACCATCACAATAAGTTATTTGCATGATTCATTGTCACGTGATAATGCCGAGTTCGTCATGCAATTTACCATTTTTGTTCATCCTCGTTCGTAGTTAGCCATTTTATAATCGATAGCAAATTTCTTCCAAATAAAACCCGACTTGTGTAGTCACTTGCGGCAAATGTGCGTGACAGACAATTCTATAGTCGTGGCCCCTAAAGCGATAAAGCACTTTTATGGACTAAATTGGTTAAATGAAAGCAGTTGAAAATGCCGATATCGTTTTGAATTGTAATCGTCCATTCATTATGATTATGGTTTAGGAGAGATTTTACTATATTCCAGAGACAAACGACTACACAACTAAACACAGTTGTCGATTTGAACGACATAGCCTTCAGCCATGACGTCATACGTCATGATGCGCTCCTTCACTAGAGGGCGCGATCTATATGGATGGTGCATTTCATCATCATGATATCATCAAACTTGAACGCGTAAAAGGCACATTGTGTGAAATAGCTTACTAGTAATGTAAACAACTGCCATTGAGTCTTGTGTTCACACCCCCTAGGATAACCTTTAAGTTTAAAGTGTATTGTCAGAACAACTATTATGGAGCCTCGTGTAATACACACTGCGTGCCCAAGAATAGTAACCAGAACGGCCACTATGAATGTAACCCTGACACCGGAAGTAAAGTCTGCCATACCGGATGGACATCCCCTAGTACATCCTGTAAGACGAATATTGATGACTGTGCTGGAGATCCTTGTCAAAATGACGGCGTTTGCACAGACGTTGTCAATGGTTACGTATGTACCTGCGTGGCTGGATATGAAGGTAGCGTGATTTCTATTTACGATATGTCTTTCACATTTACTATGGGAGACAGTGAACCGTGACCTGCAATGTTTGTCAGGCATCAAATTAAAGATGGACACCGATTGTGACAGAAAACTAAGCACTAAGAATCAATTAAACGTATCTCATATGTGGTTGGCTAAAGGGATAACCATAAAAAGCGTTGATCTGTCTTCATCGGCCATTCAGTCTACTATATTCTAAATCATGACCTAGACATGTGTGCTGTTGTTTTCATCTGTTTACAATATTCTTTGTAGAGATTTTTTGCTTAGGTGGAATAACACATTTTTTTCAAGAGTTTAGAAAAACCTCTTGATTAAAGTCTCCAATTCTTGAGTAAAATCTGAAAATTGACTAAAATTTTGTCTGCTCCGAAATAATATTCTTTTTAGAAATATTGAAAAATATAAAAAAAAAGTGCAGACAAATATGGGCTAGAAAGTTAAGAAGAGGTTAATTGTATGTTAATTATATTTCAGGTGCACAGTGCCAGATAGACACTGACGAATGTGAACCAGAGCCCTGTTTTAATGGCGGTGTGTGCATAGACCAAGTGAATGGTTTTGAATGCAACTGTCCCGATGGTTTGTCCGGATCGCAATGTCAGACTAACTATGATGAGTGTGGAAGCAACCCCTGCCAGAATGGCGGTGTCTGCATCGACAGTGTTAACTCGTACGTGTGCCAGTGTGTAGACGGATATGAAGGTGATGATTGTGACATCGACGTGGACGAATGTGAAGATGACCCCTGCCTGAATGGTCAGTGTGAGCACCGTGTGAACAGCTACACGTGTACGTGCGATGAAGGATATGAAGGCGTTGACTGCGATGTGAATATTGACGATTGCGTTGATGCAGATTGCCAAAATGGTGGCGTGTGTCAAGATGGTATTGCTGAGTACACATGTCTCTGTGCAGCTGGCTATGAGGGCGTACACTGCGAAGTTGACATTGATGAGTGCGCCGAGGTGCCGTGCCAAAATGGCGGAACGTGTACTGATGGATTGCTTAGTTATGACTGCGCATGCGTGCTTGGTTATGAGGGCATCAACTGTGAACGAGAGATTGACGAATGCCATACTCACCCATGTCAAAATGGCGGAATCTGTGCAGATGCTTTCAACGGCTACTACTGCTCTTGTATGCTCGGTTTCCAAGGTTACGACTGTGAGGTCGAGATTGACGAGTGTGAACTTGGGCCATGTCAGAATGGAGGGACATGTAACGATTTGATTGGTGGATTCACATGCGACTGCCCCATTGGGTTTTGCGGAATGATCTGCGAAGTTGACCTCGACGAGTGTGCCAGCATTCCATGTCAAAATGGCGGAACTTGCATCGACGGTGTCAATAGCTATGAGTGTGCATGCGCAGAAGGGTCAGAAGGT